CACTTCACAATTGGGTCTCCTTTTAGAAATTCCTATTTCCATTATTGTACTATACTTGGACTTGACCACAGGGCTTTACATTCAATTACAGGCTCCTTATTAGATTAAAAAAACTAAAATCTTCAATTTTGCCTCTAGCCAAACTTGAACTATTGATCTTAATTGTGAAAAGTGTGGGAGCTTAACTGCTAAGCTATAGAACTCATATTTCTAATTTTCAGTTAATAATATTTAATTTTTTTTTTTTTATTTATCCCTGGTATTAATATCTAGGGGCACATGTAGTGCTTTTTTATTAAAATCAAATTATTAAGAACATTGTATATATTTATATATATTTTTCATTTTTTGGGAACAGTTTTTTAGATTGTGTGATACAGAGTATGTATGTCTTTGTGAAGATGTTTAATTACTATTAGAGATAGAATTCTGCTTGAAAAGTTGCTGTCTCCCTATTTAAAAGAGATATAAGTGCACCATATTTTATAAATTATATTTGTGTGCAACTAAAGAGTGGCTTGTTTGCTTTCATTATTTATAATGTTTGTTGCTATAAAATTTTTTTCTATAGAGATCAGAGGAGTCTTAGCTTGGTTAGTTTTTAGAAGGCTGTAGGCCTGTTTCTATATTTTTTTGCTAGCTTTGCATTTAAGTGCAAAGTGCTTAGTGGTTTGTAGCTCATTGTCACACCAGAGGCAGTTTTCTGTAATAAAAGGGCTTATATGCTATAGTCAGTATTCTAGTAGTAAAACTTTATAAAAAAGGCACTATAAAATGTTCTTTTTCTTGTTAGTTGTTTTCTTAATCAGCATCCAGTTAGGGTGTTGGCTAGGATTAAGTGGCTCTAATGTTAGCCTTTTTCTTAGAATTTCAATGATTTTCTTGACTAAAAGTTCTTCTTCATTAAGTTTTTCTATTTCAATATCTTTGAGCTTCCAAGACTAGCTTGTTGTCTTAGTAACTTTGCCTTTAGTCTTTTTCCAAGCTAACAGGTATGGTTTTCATTCTTTTGGCCAGGCTTTTGATCTAATAATATCTGTTTTTAATGTCTAGTTTATTGATATGTTCCTTTTTTCGAGTAAGATTTCTGTGATTTTATCTTTTTTATATTTGGCCTATATAAAGTCACTAGTGAGGAGTTTTTTCTATACTGAGATTAGTCTAGCATTTAGCATATCTTCTACTATTAGGGCTTGAAGGCTGTTTTGTTTAAGTGATTGTTGGAATATAAAGTATCTAGGCAGCATTCTGGAATTGTTTTTAATCCAGAGTGTCATAAGTTTGTTGGTTTCTGCAATTTGTTTTTTACTTAGTAGAGTCAGGTATGCTGCATACCATATTCATGAAAGTATAAGTGCTTTAGCTAAAAGGATTTTTTCTCTAAAAGAGAAATTTTAATTAGATGATTTTTCTAGTGTTTTTTTTATCTTAGTGATTGTTGTTGTCCATAAGTCTTTTTTAGAAATGCCTTTTGTGTTTACTTCATATCCAAGAATTGTTAATATTTCCTGTTTTGTAGTTTTAGTAAATTGGGATTCATCCTTAAGTTTGATCCTGCAAACTGTATTTGTAAGAGGCACTAATTTGGTTTTGTTTTTGTTAATTTTTGCATTAGAGACAGCTTCGTAGGTTTCAAAAAGTTGCATAATGTTTATTCAGTCTAATGATAAGCTTATTCCTATTGTTAGGTTATCTGCATAAACTGACAGTTTAAAGAACTGGTTTTTTAAGGGAATTTCTTAAATGTTTCTTTCTAGTTGTATAAGTAGTAGTTCAAATGCAAGTACATATAGTAGGGAGAAGAGTGGATTCCCTTGTTATACTCCTCTTTCTACTCTAAAAGGTTCAGATAAGATATTGGCTTCCATAATGTGTGCCATTTGGTTTGAAAAGAGGTTGGCTACCAAGTTGGTCATTTTTTTGTTGAAGTTCATTTTTCTTAAAACCAGGTTTAGAAAGTTATAGTCCATTCTGTCAAAAGTCTTTTGCTAATCTACTAAAAGCATTCAGTACTGTTTGGAGCTGTCTGATTGGTTTTTTAATATATATATATTTTTTTTTTTAACTTTAGTACTTTATTAGGATTCTTGAAACTATACAGATTACATAGAATTTTCCTAATATATAAGTTTAGCATTACCTGGCCATCCAAATAGTACCTAAATACAACCTGCTGCACTATCTTAGTTAGAGATAGACTGCTCATCTGATTGCCACCCTACAATAGGATATCACCAATCTGATGACATCTTTTCATAGGGAAGCAAAAAACAAAAAAAAAAGAATTTTTTATGTAAAAAACAAAACAGAGGTATAGGGGTAAATGATAAAAGATACAAATCAAGAAATAAAAAGGGAAAAGAAATAAATGAGAAAAAGAAAATATGTGAAACTTGCAATTTACAAATATCAGATGGTTACAATTGTATGCCTGTGTCGAGCCTTTAAAAATTATAAACTATACTAAATAGAAATAACTCTATTATTTTTTTATTTACTTAGATTATTTAATAAAAAACCATGTAGGAAAAAAAAATCTTTGACTTGATTGTAGAGAGTCAGTATAGAGCACTAGTTAGTCTGGAGGCAGTATTTTCAGGATTTTTAGTATTTCGAGGCATGTGTATAGTTGTGTTTGTATTACTGTTTTGTTTTGATTTATATCATCAACAAACCTGTTTAGAAAGTAAATACTGCTGACTGTTTTGGTAGTTTTACATGTTAATCTTTAGAAGAAGGTAAGCTAAATCATCTACTTTTTACAAAATTTCCTCAAAGCAAAGTAAAGGTGAGAGGTGAACCAACTTTGTAGCTTTTGTGAGTTCTTGACCTTTATAGATGTTCCTTGTAGGTTTTACAGTTGTATAGAACTAATATATCCAACTTTGTTGTTTACTTTATAAAAAACTTTGGCTTTCACTAACTACTTCTTCTATAGTTCCAAAGTGCGTTTAAACCATTACCACAAAGCTGCAACTTCTTTTTCAACTCTATTTCAATGTTCAACTATGCATGTACAGTACTCTGAAAAAGTTTTTATAAAGTTTATATATTAACTATATCATTTTTCTGTAGTTTGGCTTTTTGAAAAGTTTGGTTTGAATGATCAGTTTTTTAATATGGTAATTATATCCAAGGCTGTATCTGTTATTAATTTTCTGGAAACAAATCCTTGTTGGTGATTGGGAATAATTTTTTTGCAGATTATATTAAGCCTGTTTGTTATAATTTTCATAAAAATTTTAGCATCACAATTTACTAATAAGATTGAATGCCAGTTGTTTAAGTTTTTTAAGTTTTCTGACTTTTTGGAAATTAGTATAATTATGTTTCTGCACCATGAATCAGGTAAACAACCAGTATCTAGTACTTAATTAAATAACTTTTCAAGAACTAGTGCTATTTCTGATAATATAAGTTTGTAGAATTTGTAAGTTAGCCCATCAGTGCCAGGTGACTTGTTATTAGAAAGGCTTTGTATTGCTTGGATTATTTCTTTTTGTAAAATTTTTTTGACTAAGTTGTTATTTTGGTCCTGTAATACTTAAAGAAGACTTTCAGTATTCTTTTCTGCTGCCTTAAGATCTATGTCTTCTTCTTTGTAGATTTTCGTATATTGGTTTTTAATATATATAAGTATATTTTCATTTTCTGAGCTTAAAGTTTCAGGTATTTCGATTTTAGACTAGGCACTTTGTGACTTTTTTGCTTTGTATCTTGAGAAGAAGTATTTTGTTGACTTTTCTCCATTTTCAATCTATTTTGTTTTTGACTAAATTAACCATAACTCAGCTATTTTAGTTAGTTTCTCTTGTATTTGAAGGTTAAGTTTTTCTATGTTTTTGTTAAGGTGTTCTTTTGAGAAGTCTGCTACAAGCTTCTTACTTAGCTTTGTAATATCTTTGTTTAGTCTTGCCATTTTGTTTTCAGGGGCTTTGGGTTTTTGAAAGGCTCTGATGATTGATTATATGTAGATTTTACATAGATCACAGTTTTCTGCTGAGCCAGCATCCTAAATTTCCTCTAGTACCTCTTTTTTTAGTAATTCATTTTTAAAATATTCTTTATTGAACTTTCAGACTGAAGGCTGTTTAGATTCTTGTTTGAATTCCAGTGTGCATCTTACTGGAAGGTGGTCTGAATTACCAAAGTGTATGCTAACTTCTGATATAAGGTAATTATGATTCTCATCTATAAAAATGTAGTTCAAACATATAGCCATTGAGTGATTATTCTGTGTTTTCTGAAAAAAAGTTAGAAAGGGCTTGATGCTTGACATTTCTGCTATGTTAATAAGTTCTTTTGTTAGGTTGAAGAGCTGGGTTCTAGTTGAGTCATATTGGGCTGTTGCTTGACTTATTCTGTTGTTTTTGAAATTAAGATTAATATTGAAGTCTTCTGCTATAATGTTTATATTGTTTTCTTTGATTTAAGGTTTTCAGTCATTAAAAAGGTTATTCTGTCACTAATGTTTGGTGGTGCATAGATGTTTGTTGTTTTAAAGAAGTATCCTTTAAATACAGTCTGTTGTTATTATTCTTCCTTCATGGCTTATCTGAATGTTTTTAAATTCAATGTCTTTGCTTTCTGCTAGAATTGCTGTTTTTTTTAGTTCAGATTGAATCATAAATTCATTGTTGTTTGAGGAATTCTTGTGTTTTTTTTATTATTAAGGTTAGTTTCCTAAAGCATTATTATGTCTAGTTTGTATGATTTTAAGAGAGTTAGTAAGTTTTGTTGTTTTCCTTTGTTATTAAGTCTTTTTATATTTAGTATTGCTATTTTTAATTTGGTTTTTTGAGTCATAAATTATATGAGGTTGTTGGATCCCTTAAATTAAGAGTGGCTTGCTTCTTTATGAGTTTTTTTGTATGGAGATGATCTTGTTTCATCTTTCTTAGATGTTTTGTTTTCTTTCTTGGTTTTTCTGTTAATGACTATGATAAAGCCATCTGTTTTTTCATTTTTGTCAGAAGGAGAAGCTGCTTTGGAGATGTGACTTGCAGATGGATATGGTGTTTTATAGCCATAAATGGCAAGTTCATCTCTTGGTAGCATTTCTGTATTAGGTAAGAGATCTTCTTGAGTTGTTGCTTGCATTTGTTCATCTGAGCTGTTATTTGTTGTAGCTAATTCTGCTAAAACTGGAAGCTGAAGGTTTTGCTAATAGCTAGGATCAGTTTCCTCTAAGGCCATATGTGCATTATTTTTTGTATTATTTTGTTCTTGCTGCTTAGAGTTTGCTGGTGATAGAGGTTCTTCATTGCTCTATTCAGTACTTTTTGGAGTCTCATTTAATACCTGAAAGTCATTTGAGAGTCTTTTATTATGTTTGTCCTCTTTGTATTGTTGATTGCTAATTCATAGATTTACTGAATCCTGAAATTGTTGGTATTCTTTTTTAACATGGCCTTCTTTTTCACAGAAGTAGCATATCTTAGGTGCTTATTTCCATTCTGTTGTGACCTTATTGTCTCACACATATGTGAAATAAGGTATTTTGCTTTCTAGATTAGGATCATCTGAGTTCTCAAAGATTTTAATCCATTGGTTCATAAGGTAAGGTGTTCTTTTGATCAGTAGGGGCTTGATTGATGCGATTCTGCCCACAAACTCGAAGGCTTCTTTTATAGCATCTGATATTGCTTCTTTGTTACCTAGTGGAACATTTCTGATCTTAACTGAAAGAAATGATTTTCTTGAATCTGTAGAGATAAAGCCAAAGTAGGTTCTACTGAAAATATTAATACTCTTAATAGCATGGTGTTTTAATTTGTCTTTGTTTTCAAACACAATTTCCAAATATGTGCATGTTCCTTTCATAAAGAGGCCATAATTTCATTAAAAAAGCTGTGTATGTCTTGGATGTCTGTCATTAGAGTATTTTTATTTTTGATCTAATTTGAGACTAGACTACTGTATAGTTAGTGTCTCTTTTGAACCTTTTTGTCTGTCACTATCTTTTTGTAAGTCATTGTAAGGGTTAGTTTTATGTACTTCACTTAACAAACTGCTACTTTGTGAGTTTTTCATTATGTCTAGCTTCTGTCCTGTTGTATTTTCAGTTTCATCTAAGTTGTCTAATATTACTTGTTCCTTAGACATGTTGTTTGTTGTTATGTTTATAGTATCTTTGAACATGTTATTCTTGTTTACTTTTTGTTCTTGAGTAGCTTTCATTTTTTCTATTTCTAGTTCAACTTGTTTGTCCCAGCTTGTTGAGTTATTACTAGGGATTTCTTTTAGTACCTGCTTTTCTTTTTGTTTATGTTTAGTAGTTTCTTCTATGTCAGTTATCAAGCTTAAAAAGCTTGATGCATTTTTTTTTGTTTTTCTTTACTTTTTTTCTGCCACTTATTGATGCCATTTTTTTTGTTGTTTTTATGCTTTTTGTGTATTGAAATTCTGTAAAGAACCTTTTTCTTGGAACAAGAGCAAAGGCCCTTGTTTTAGTAAATACTTTAGCTGGTTTTGTCTTGTTGTTTGCTCTTATTTTTAACAAAAAGGTTACTCTACTCCAAAACTTGTGTGTTCAAGAGAAAGTATATGCAGATCTTTTATAATATTTAATTTAATACCTTTATATCTTGTGAAATTTCTAAATTACTTGATATTTCATTAATATTTTTACTATTTTTAATCAAATCTAATATTAAATTATATGATTGATTCTTATTATTATAAAGAAAATCTAAGCATGATTGTCTTGTTCTATCTAATATTTCTCATAATCTTTCATCTTTTAAATATTCTTCTTTAACTTTATTTATTCAATTAATATAATAATTATTATCTAATAATCTATCAATATCTTTTGATTGGTGAATTTCAATCAATAAAGAATCATAATTTCTATTGATCAATAAAGCTAAACATTGTTTTTTTAAATCTTGTAATATGTTTTTTTGATCTTCATCTAATGATGCATTTAGTTAAATCATTTTATTATATCTTTCATCTAATAGATTACCAAGAAAACTTAAATTTTTTATTTCTTGTTGTATTCTTATCATTTCTGTATTTCTATATAAATTTCTTATTTTTTTGTTATATAAATTATATAATTCTTATTTTTGTTAATTGGTAAAATCTTTATCATTATCAATTTCTTTTTTTGTATTAACTTACAATTTAACAATATTAGTTTCTTTTTCAATTTTTTCTTGAATATTTTGAATTATTTCTTGTTGGGTATTTCTCTAAAATTTTTCATTTACTAAATCAAATAAACTTACTTATTGTTTTACTATTAATCTTTCTTCATTTTTAATTGTTAATTGAATTTCTTGTAATTGTAATAAAACTTCTGTTTGATTAATTACTTTTTTATAATATTTTAAAAAATCTTGTTGTAATTTATTTAATTTTGAATAAATATTAGTGTTACACCCTGTTACATGAATTATTTGTTACAAGTCATATAAATTTCAAATATCACATGATAGACATGTTATATAATTTCGCGATTTTGTAGTACTGTAATAAACTTACTTTCATTGGTTTAAATAATTTTTAAAAGCTTACTCACTTGCTTGTTTTATCTTATAGCATTCGCTCATTTCTGATGAAACTTAACTCAACTAAACTGATCTCACAACAACTGTTTTTAATTTAACTGAGCTAACGACGTCTTTCAACGTTTTTGCACCTTTATAACAAATTCAAATTAAATAGGCAAAGGTGACCTCAAAATATGACTGATCAAGCAGTTAATTGTGAAGCTAGTACTTCCTATGCAGTTAATGCTGAAGTCAGTGCCCCTAATGTCTCACACATGGTTAATGCTGAAGCTAATACACTTTGCAATAATGTGGTTGATAATAAAGCTAGTACCTCTTATGAGAATGCAATTAATGAGGGGGCTAATGATACAGGTGCTGTATTAGTAAAGTGAAGACATAGTATGTTTTAGACTTGGTTTTAAGTTTACTTCAATTATGTAGAAACATCTTCAAGCGAGGGGGCTAATGATACAGGTACTGTATTAGTAAAGTGAAGCCATAGTATGTTTTAACTTGGTTTTAAGTTTGTTTTAATTATGTAGAAACATCTTCAAGTGAGACACTATATGATTTTTCTTTGCTGAGGGTTGGTTATACGTTTCGGTCATGGGATGATGTTGATTCCTTTCTTAAAGCCTATGGTCAATATTATGAATTTGCCATTATTAAAAAGAGAGTTGAGCAACATGATGATGGTACAATTAAGCATCGATCTTTTGGATGTAAATTTGGCAGAAAGTATACACTCAAAAAAAAGTATTGATATCAACGTCCACCATAATTGACAGTCAAAACAGCAAGGATATGAATGGCATATCAATCTAAATTTTTCTAAACAATCTATTTATATTACAGTTACAACGTTTAAAAATACTCACAATCATAAACTTAATCCTGAGAATTGTAAATATAGTGCTAAGTTCAAATCTATTGAAAAGGATGCACTAAATGACATCGAATTTTATACAAAAAGTGGAAATCTTTCGATTACTGTACAACACCAATTATTAAGAGCAAAGTATCCAGATGCAACCTTTTTAGACATGGATCTTGCTAACGCTATTTAACATTACAAAGTAAAATCTCGAGATTTTGAAGCAGATGCTTCACATCTTCTATCATTTCTTACTGAAAAATGTTCAGAGTCAGGTTGGAGTGTTGAATTCGAATTAGATAGTGACAACTGTCTTACTAGGCTTTTTTGGATGACCCCTAAACAATTATCTCTTTGGCTCGAGTATCATGATGTTATTCTCAACGATAATACAGCTAAGACAAATCGATATCAAATGCTGCTTAGTTTGTTCTTTATTGTTGATAATAACACGAGATCTCATTTGGTTGCACAAGCACTAATATCCAACAAAACAGTTGACTCTTACAAATGGATTCTCCAGTGTACAATAAAAGCTACAGGTGTTGAACCAATGGTCTTTGTTACAGATGCGGATCCGGCGATGGACAGCACATTAAAAGAAGTGTATAAAAATACGAATTCATTACATTGCATCTATCACATCAGCCAAAATCTACCAAAGAATCTAAAGGCTACATTAGACAATACATATGATTCATTCATCAAGGAATTTTATCAGTGTCATAATACACTGGACGAAATGTTGTTTGAATTTAGGTGGCAAAATTTACTAGAAAAATATCCATCTGCTTCAAATTACTTAACAAGAGTCCTTTATTCTAGTCATCAATCCTGGGCTTGTGCCTTTACATCAAAAATTTTTACTACTGGAGTTCAAACAACATCATGCGTGGAAGGGTGTATTGTGAATTAAAATGGATTTTAAATAATTTAGATCTTTGATAGTGTAGGGTTAGATTTGCTACTAAATTTTAAGTTTATTTAACAGTTAAGAAATTGCATTAGATATTAGTTAAGATCACATTTTGACACATGTCTTGTTTGTTCTTTTTTTATCTAAGGATATTAGCTAATATCTAACATGTTATTTTACTAAATTTTAAGTTTGTTTAACAGTTAAGAAATTTCAAATTCACTTCATTCCAGTTTCATTTTTAACAGATACAATGGTCTTATTAAGAGAGTATTACACAGCAATGATAGTTTATGCGATTTATTGAACATCTTTGATTCATGATTAGAAAAAGAGGCTGAATGGAACTGTTTCTTTGAATATCAGATGTTGTCGTCATGTGTTGGGATTTCATCTGTTGGCAGTGAGATATTCCCTACTGTTGATCAAATACTTTCAGAATATTTGACACCACATATCCTTTCTGTTGAATGTATTAAAATGGCTCAATGCTTATATTTCAATGCAGTATTAACCGACATGATAATAATTGGCTTTGATGATGAAAATAAAAGTATGGAAGATCGATTTATAAAGGATATTTATGATGCGAAGCAAATTTTGCTTAAATCAATGGTTTTGCAAGTCGATCGAGCTAACATTAAGGAAATATAGCAAATTATTGACAAGAGACCAGGCAACAATCAGCGAAAGCAATTTATTATTATAATAGATTCTATTTCCTATTTATGTACATGCATGGCCAATATATCTCGTGATATCGTGTGCAGACATTACTTTCAAGTAATGCTAGTTTCACAAATTTCTGGATTTCACATTAGTATGGTGGCATCATGCTGGTACTATAATAACAAGAAAGAGGCAGTTGGTCAAAAGAATGTGGTTTTTTCAAATAAGGGTTCTAGTCAAGCACAACAAAGTCAAACCATACCATTGATTCCTCAACAATTTACTGTTCCTCCTTCAGTAGCAACAAGCAGCCAATGTGTGGCAACTCGACATTCCAAGTTTTGCGAAATATGGGGCCTTGCATGACAAGCTGCACAACTCGCAGTTAATTGTGATGATAATGAGATGATTCAATGGTTAAGAACTTTTATTAATCAAAAAAAACATTGTCTAACACAAACTGATGAATGTGAAAACAGTGATAAGAAAAACGATTTGACAGTTGCCAATCCACTGATCACCAAACACAAGGACAGACCCAAAACTAAAAGATATAAGGCTGCCACAGAGAAATCAAGTTATCAACCATATACTTGCTGTAGTTGTGGTAAAACTGGGCACAATAGCACAAGATGTCAAAAGAAAGGTGGTATGTAATATATGTATATAGGATGGAAGATGGGTTATTGAAAACTTTAGCATGACTGTTATTTGATGTATGCTATAATATTCATATATTAATTAACTTGTAAACTGCAGTTTGTGTAATTCTAGATTATAGATGTTATGTATATTAGAACAAACATATAAGAATTTGATAGTATGTACGATTAACAAGCCATTTGTATTTAACATTGTCTTATTTTAGGGTTTGAATATGTGCTAGCTAGTTTTCTTAGGGTAAGTATAGGTTATAGTTGATGATTATACATACTATCGTAGCTTTGTGTTTGTTTTAACTTGTGATATCATGTTGCATTACTTATACTCTAAAATTCCCGGGTCTGATGACTGTTAAGAGTTTTATGAAAAAGATTAATTTTATCGAATTCTAACTTTTACTTCTGTTCAAACAAGTTTTCTTGTACTAATATCGCCATATAACCATAGATAACGCATATTAAATTTGGGAAATTCTATTTTGACCTGAGTCAAAATGCCCCTCTTTGGAATTTAGGGTTAGTGTGGGCCGGAATTATGTCAATGCGGGCTGGGTTTTTATCTTAAATGCCCCTCTCTAGAATTTAGGGTTAGTGCAGGCCGGAATTATGTCAATGCGAGCCGGGTTTTTATATTAAAAACCCCGGTTAGTATCAACATAATTCCGGCCCACACTAGCTCTAAAATTCTGGTAGGGTTATTTGACCTGAGTTAAATAGAATTTTTAATAAATTTTATATTATAAAGTATAATATTATATAATTAGTTAAATATAACTATATATATAGTAATGAATAATAAATGTAACATGATCAAAACAACTCTCCCTGATAATCACTCGTACTGAATTTTTTACAAACGACGAGCAGAAATTTGTTAGAAAGAAAAGGAAAAACTTCTAGTTTAGAATGGTTTTTACAAAGGTCAACTGTTTGTTTTCCCAGAGACTCCTTTGTATATTTAACATGCAAGCCAAAAGCGTTTCTGTATAAGATAACTGGCAGAAGA